ACAAACATCCGATCTCTCACGAAACAGATCTCTCACCATCTTGCCCCTGACGAACGTCGGGGTCTCCGGGTAGTCCTCGTGCTCCACCGAGCGCGTGGCGATGACGATGGTTCCGTCCGCGAACTCCTCCCAGGTGCTGCGGATCACGAAGTCCCGGGGTCGGGTCGGCCAAATGGCCTGGTAGCACGTCCACCGCACGGAGGTGTGGTCATTGGGCCTCTCCACCAACTCGTATCTGTCGAACATGCGGTCGTACTCCATGATTCTAGCGCGGGCGGGAGAGAAGCAGAAGAAAAAGCGGCGCAGGGTGGGAAGACGGGGGGTGGGGTAGGTGGAGGGGGGTGCACTCATAGCATGGCGTAGTCGTTGTAGACCATATTGACCTCGCATTCTGCCTGCAAAGCGGGGACCGAGCACGTCGGGTTTTCACCGGACCAGGCCAGCACATCACCGCGAAACGCCGCGAGGTATTCGGCGAGTCGCATGGAGGGCCATGTGTTTATGGAGGGTGAGGGAATACTACAGGATAGATGATCCACCATGGTCAACACTGCTGTCGTGTTCCGTATTTATTGCCCAGGTGGTGGGGTGGGTGAAAAACTAAACAAAGGGCTCTCCAGGGGCGCGACGTCGGGATACCGTGGTGTGCGACAGGTTGGACGTGCGCTACCATGACGCCGCGTGATTGTTTCTCAGTCGTGTGATCCTGATGGAATCGGTCAACGGCCTCCACAACTAAGGCATGCAAAACATAAAAGAGTACCCCCGCCCCCGCCCCCGTTGGTTTACGCACCTCTCGTCGTCGATGAGGAGTTGCAACAGCTGGGCGGGCGTCGCCTCGCAGCGCATCCGCCCCCGAATGCGACAGTACGGCGACCCTTCCACCGTGCTCGTCCAGATGTGGATGCCGCGGCGAACCCGAACCGGTATCCATTGCCCCGCGTGGTCCACCGGCGTATCCGACACCATCTCCAGCAGGTCCTGCACCATCTGGCTCTCCTCCGTCTGGACCCCGGTGCTACCATGATCGTGCCGCACCAAACCCAAGCAACCGGGCGAGTCAAGCCAGGGGATCACACGACATTGGAATAATTCAGTGTACGCTGTAGACTCAAACAGTTGAGCCCAGTGCCAGCCGGTTGCCCTCCACTCACTGAAGAGACTTCAGCACCTCCCTTTGGACTGCTGTGGAAATATCTCGAATGACTTGTATTTCTGTGTGTGATTTTATGTATGTTTTCGTAAAGGAAAGCGGCAAGGGAAAGAGAGAAGAGAGCAACGCAGGACCCTACCCTATCGCACTGAAACTCGGAAGACAGCTAGCAAAGAGCAGCCCCCAGCGGACGCGTACGCCGATACTACGAGGATGGCGGCGAAGCATATACCAACACCATACGCATATACTGCTGCTACCTGGCACATTCTGCCGAGCTCATAGCGCTGAATAACAACTACTGATGCGGTCTCCATGATAGCACTGACGAGTAGCTTTGCTCCTTCCCCGCCCCTCTCTCGCCCATGCATGACGGCGAGTCATCGTTTCCCCCTCCCCAACATCCCTTCCCAGCACGTTTCCTTGAACGAAAACACTCACATACACGCCACCCTCACGGGTGCCCAGATGATGGCCTTTACGAAGCGTTTTGAGTTTTCAACCGCAGCGAGACTGACGCCTTTTCATTGGCCAGTCGGATGGCGCGGGCTGCGCCAAACACATCCGCACACACTATAATAGCTAGCACACACGTTTACCTTGTGATCGATCGCCGCAGGTTCTGCCGCCTCCCGTCCACCTCCCACCTCAGCTCGTTCGGCCCTTCTCCCTCTCCTTCGCAGTCTCCCTCGGCCGTGTTGTCGCTTTCCGCCTCGAAGGCCCTTCGCCTCGTTCGCCAGCTCCCGTTCCCTACGCTGGAGAGGCTGCCCGACTCGCTGCAAATAGCGTGGAAAAAAAAAAAAACTCACGCCCGGGGATTCGAAGGCGTGACGCTAGATAGAGGGGATATCATTTTCTGGGGCACACGTATTCGCGATTTTTTCCCGAGTTTCAACCTTGGGTGCATTTTCAAAAACAACAGAGACACGCTGTCTAGGAAAAGAAGACGTTCTTGCCATGTGTCGATAGATATCCATTGTCACCGCCTTACCGAAATTTAACGTTTTTTCCCCGGTGCTTGGATGGCCATGTACGCATCAAATAATATTTGTATAAGTGATTGACCGTATAATACAAATCTTCTTTCTTCTTGTTCGGTTTCTAGGTCAGCTTTACATGGCGTTTGTTCTAGGTGGTTATTTTCCACCAACCACAAAGATGTTGGTACCTTATATCTCATCTTTGGTCGTTTTTCTGGGGTTTTAGGTACTGCGATGGCTGTTCTTATCAGGCTTCAACTTGCTAATCCCGGCTGCGAAAACGGGCATGTATCGAACGCGAGACTGCTGAAATTTTCCCCGGCGACAAAACGTTGGATCGACTGCTTGAGACGTCAACCACACACAAGCTGTTTCCTGCGTCTTCGCTCCAACTGATCCACCCAACCCACACGCCAATAGCTGTGTTCGACAAAATTCTGACAAGGCGAAGGAATGACGCAACACGGTCTCCATTCCCCTAAAGAGGTACAGAACGAACAGTCAACGAAGAGCCCGACTTCTTACGCCATGCGCTGTCGCCTAGGTAGGCAGGACGACGAAAACAACAACAGATACGCAATACAGCCGTATTCAACAAAATATTACTACTATGAGTACGAGGTCGTTTCCCCGCACAAAAACACGTTACCGCCGTGGATCATTGATGGCGGGATTGAGAAAACGTGAACATACACCGGCAACGCTAGGTCCGGCCCTAAATCGACCACCAACGGCATGTTCGTTGGCCCCTCGCAGGACAAAACGTGCTGCTGTGTGATGTGCCTTCTGTATATGTGGCCGGTTGTTGCAAAACGTTCCGACCTCTCATCAGGTCCTCCCTGATCCCTGACACGTGTACTGCAGTACTTTCCCACATACAAATGGTTGCTTGGCCATGCAGGCAGGTATTACCGCGGGCACTACATACTGATTGTGCTTCCCATGGGCAGCAAGAGAACGCACCAGCCGCGCAAGGTGGTGTGCCAGTTAAAGTTTTCGAGGACAAAATGAATGTTGAAAACCGATTGGGTCCAAGGTATGTAGAAAAAAAGGCCACTGCGTATATGGCGCAACCTAACCTTCATATGCATATGGTACACTTCTCGGGAGAGAAACAGCCTGAGAGTGCCACAACAAAATGTTGACTTCGCAGCTGGCACCACCTTCTCCTGCTGCGTATCAACTCCCAGGTGTGTATTTGGATACAACGCGTGTGTACCTTTCGTGTACCAGTTAAGATCCACTACAATCGACTACTCTTCGTTGCTGCTGCTACTGCCCTTCATGAAGGATGCTCTACAATATGGCTGAGACACGCTGCAAACGGTCTCGACAACTCTCTTCGACACACACCGTTCGAAGAAAAATAGGGAAGTTCTACCTGCATTGACTGCAACTCTACTGCTGTGCTAACCGCCTCCTGTTCTTTTGCCTCGATGATACGTTACACACAAGAAAGACCAAACTCCATTGCTGTAAATCAGTATCACTCCTAACCTACTATCCTATGTATCCCCCTTCCCTTCCACGCGTTTCACCTACACGAAGAACAACAAAACATTAAAGATTTCAAAATGAGCGGGAAACAGCCACACTTCAAATCTACAGTACAACTCCAACTGTGGAAGTAAAAAAAAAAAAAAAATTGTGGTGCGTGTACATGTACAACAGTCCTACAGCTGTACATACTGTAGTCTATATCCAAGTCGCCTAAAACAGCAGCGAAGTACGCAAGTTGTCAAACGACACATTGTCGTGGACGTGTGGCAGACTGGGGACGTACCACAGCAGTGGAAGGATGCCACCATCAAAATGCAATTCAAGAAGGGGGACACGATGAAGTGCGGCGAACTACCGGGGCATCTCTCTCGTCGCACACGCCGGCAAGGTGCTGCTTAAGGTCGTCGCTACACGACTGAGCCACTACTGCGAGCGAGAGGGCATCCTCCCGGAGGAGCAGAGCGGTTTCCGCCCACACCGGTCGACGCTCGACATGCTGTTCGCCATCCAGCGGCTCCATGAGCTCGCGAGGAAGAAGAGTACTGCGGTGTTCGCGTGCTTCGTCGACCTCACCAAGGCGTACGATTC